TCATATGACGTTCTATCAATTACTTAAGTTGTATAAGTAGGCAAATTTTCAATTACTGTTACACAAACAAATTTAATTATAAAATTGATCTGCATGCGACGCATTCGGTCAGACCGGATTGAGATCGGATGGGATCGGATCATTAACATCCCTTATGTTATTAACATAAAACAAATAAAATACAAATTTAACCAATTTTCGTTACCGAAAACATTAAATTTTCACTCATGAGTAGTCTATTAGGTCTTAATTATTACGATGACGAAGAAGACGAAGAACAAACTGGTAATACAACAAAACCAATTAAAGCTAGTTCAGGTAAAGAGACTTTAAAAGCAAATTTATCACGACGTGTTGCAAAAGTTTATTGATCTAGTTTCAAAATAGTTCCAGGGTTGTCTAGTCTGATTGGTTATCAGGAAGGAGAAGAGGAGGAAGCAGCGGGCGAAACTAATAATGGGCTTAAAAACGTAGTATGGTTTCTTGAAAGGTTTTTGTTTTTAATTTGTTGGACAAAGTTTGTTAGTTGACAAAAAAACTACAATTTGGATTCCTAACAGAATGCATATAATTCTCAAGCCATAGTACATAATGATACAGGTAATTGAAAGGATATACCGTTTAGACCTTGTAATGATTGTAATCGGGTGTGTTTTGTTTTACCGGCAAATACTTGTACATTCGACTATCTCTAATAAATTTAACCTCAGAGTAATGCCAGATATTTCGAATTTCAGACTAATTAACTTGTATCAATTTTAGGCGGTAAACGATTAAAAGATGCATCAAATAAGCCGCCTTCGCCGACGATACTGCTTTCCCAAAGAACACTGGCACCATCTCCTTCAGTTTTCTCCAATCTAGTTCGTCGGAAAAATAATAATACAACACCGCATAAACAACGTGATAGTTTATCTACTTCACCGAAAGCAGTTATTTCATCACCAGTCATTAATATACCATCACCACACCAAGAGGTTTCGGAATCTGATGAAAAGTTAAAACATGAAACCGAAGATAACATAACTGCAACTCCAATGGAGGTGGATACACCGTTTGATGAATCGGAATATGTTAACAGAAAGATCCTTATGCTTCAATTGTTAACGCCCCAACCAATTGAAGGTAAAGACAATTGGGGAATTCCGCAAGAACCTGAAGTAGAATGTTGTCAAGATCTTCAGGTATGATAATTTATGAATAAATCTCTCTCTCTCTACAAAGGGATTATTTTATGGCGAATTTATATTAAGATTTTTTAATAGGAAAAGATTATACATTTCTACCAATTAAGAGAGAAAGGCGTACATTTTAATGAAAACCTTTTGAAAAACAAAGCATTTCGTAATCCACACATATATAATAAATTGGTAGAATTTGTGGAGTTGGATGAAATCGGGTCAAATTTTGATCGAGAAGTGTATGATCCTTATGGATTTCCACCGGCAGCTTTTGCGGATCAACTCGGTAAATTCATGCACATTATAATGTTTTCATTTATTTTTTTTGATATAGATCAGAATATGATATTATGTATTTTTGTATCAAAGCGGAAGTTCAAAGAAAAGTCGTGGAGGAACGTGCATTAGCGCAACAACAACAACAACAACAACAACGGAGTCAAATACAATTTGTTGGATCATCATCAAGTACTCAAAGTATATCAAAGGCTCGTCATGTTATGCAAAGTTTGGCTGCTAGAGCCGAAAGAGGTTCTAGTAACATTCACTCCTCTATAAGGCCCACATCTAGTACAATCACAAGTACAACCACATCAACATCATCCACAAGAACATCAACTAGTTCATCTGGTACGTAGAAAGGAATATAAAATTGGTTACTAAAAATAATATATTTTTTTTTTGTTAACTTCGATCTCTCTTTTAAATTAACAGGTCGAAAACGTGTCAGTAAATGGGATGTTCCTGCTCCAGATGTAATAGCGTCGTCTTCTAAGACACACTCATCATCATCAAGTTCTAAACATAGTAGACGAAGTAGTCGAGATCGTGATAGAGAACGTGATAGAGAGCGTGATAGAGAGCGTGATAGAGAACGTGATAGAGAACGTGATAGAGATCGCGATCGTGCTCGCGATCGAGATTTAAAACGGTCGAAAGTTTAGGTTTTGTAATGTATTAGTTATAATTTTTTCCCCAACAAAATAATCACTTAGATATTTACATCGGTAACTTACCTGCTTATTTTTCCGGAAAAAGTAAATCCTTAATAAAACTTATTTAACATCACTCGGATGATTTTACAAATAAAAATAAAAATTATTTATCATCCCAAAGTAGTTAAATTAGTTTTGCTTTATTGGTAAAAGGTCAAAATAAATTAAAGTAATTTCTTTTCCCTTTATTTTTTATGTTCTTTATCAAATGAGATAAATTTACAATAAATTCAAAATCATATTTATAACTTCTTTAGTAAGATTATTAATAATATGAACCGAAGTATTAAATACAATTTATCGTTTAGAATTTGTTTTCCAAATCCTATCTGTTAAGACATTTAATTTAAAATTAAGCATAATTAAGTTTTTATAGTTAAAAATATTTAAGAATAATTAAATATAAAAATGAATAATTAATTAATAAATAATAAAAAGGTTAATTTTTAATTATATAATGTATGTTATTCTAAGTTTCTAAAACTAAAACTAGGTTCAGTTTAACCAAATTAATTTTAGTAATTTTAGCTATTATTTGAATTGGTTTTAACTGTTAATTACAAAAATTCAATTTTATTAATAATATTTTATATCATAATATTTAGAAATATTATTTTGAATCTTTACTAATATTCTTTAAGGATTTAATTTTATTGATTTAATCTTGTTTATTTATATCATTATTACAATGCTAAATAAATTAAGAATTCTTAAATAATTCTATAATTATACTTATGATTATATTAAGAAAAATAATATTATATTATTTGTTAAGATAAAATCAATTATTAATTCATACCTGTATAATCTAATATGTAAAGAAAATTGTAAATTTTTTAAATGAATCTGATAATTAAGTTTGCTGAAAAATTAAACATTTGTTAAAATACTAAAATGCTAAAACTTTGCTAAACTATATTAAAATTTATAATTACTTATACTGAAATTATGCTGTGTTGAAATGTTGAAACTATCATAATAAATGTTGAAACTGAAAAAACAATGATAAAATTATATTATACTTTTATTAAAATTTTGCTAAAATTAATTATAGAAGTTTAGGCAAGTATCCTTACTGTAATACCAATAAATTAATTTTGATATATATTCATATAAAAGAATAGTAATAAGTTTTTGATATAAAGATTTATATATTTTTTTAAATTCTTCAATAAGATAAGAACTAATACTATAGATTTTACAATTTTCAGAAACATTCTTACTAATATATTATTTTAATATAATAATTTCATATTATTATCCCTTAAATCATAGGGTTTTACAAGTAAATTTGCCTGCTTATTTACTATAAATTCTCTTTTGATTTACTTTTATAAATAATTAATTTTTTTAAATTAATTTTATAAATAATATATAATAAATTATAGTAAGTTTTATCTTTTAATTATATATTAAAAAGTTTAAGATTATTTAAAAGCTAAAATTTGTAATTTTTAAAAAAAATTTATATTAAAAATTTTTATGATTAACCTATGATAAACTTTTTAGGATTTACTTTTAACTATATTAATCTTAATAGAATATTATAAAATTACTTATAAAGTAAA